AGCAGGTAAAGGGGTTGAAGAAGACAAGCACACAGAACAATGCAGTGCGAAAGGCACTTTACTCCTGGGTGCAAGGTCATAGGATATGTGAAGGGGGGGGGGGCAAGTCACCTGGCCTCTCCAGGCTGAGTCTCCTCATGTATAAAGTTGAAAGAGTGCATTCAATGTTAGAGGTCTGCTCCACTGCCAAGTTCTGGGCTTTACCCTAAGGCCTAGAGCCTTTTGATGATTGCTGTCACCTGCTCCAAGTCGCTCCCTTTGAAGCAGGGTTCAGCTGGCTTGTCCTGGAGATTTGAAAAATCTCTACTCTTTTCTAGGGTACAAACCTGGGGATAATGTGGCAGAAGAGTCTCAGAAGCCCAAGTGGACTTTAGAACAAGAAGGGCATGGACTCGAGAAAATTGCTTATGGGAAGAGAGGTCAGCAACAGTATCTGGGACGCAACTCTCTAGTTTGAGATGGGCTTAATGAGTGGGATTTGGGAGAAAAGATGAGACTGAGCTTCCTGAGGGGGGTGATACACTGAGCTGATAGAGGCCTTGTCCCTGGGATGTCACACTCTTCAACTCTTCTGTAGTTCTACTTCTATTCATGAAATATCTTGTGATATGCAGGTCAGTAGAGCCTTTCTCTTTCTCCAGAATTGAAAACTTGTTTCCAGTAGATAGGAAGGTGTCTCCCCTTGGACTGAACGCATCTGCAAGTTACCCAAGGCTCTGAGCTCCAGTCATCATCCCCTGTTTCTGTGATAGAAATAAGTTCCCTTCCAACCTTTGTACTAATGTGTCCCAGTCTCCATGAAGGCTATGCTTGCAAAGAAGGGACATGAGAGGTTACAATTCTCTAACTAGACCATGGCCTTGATATAGAAGTGACTGACTCCTGCGGTACCTGGGTGGCTCTGTCAGTTGAGCATCCGACTGTTGATTTCGGCTCCGATCAAGATCTCGTGGTTAGTGAGATCAAGCCCTGACTCAGGCTCTGTGCTGATAGTAAGGAACCTGCTTTGGATTCTCTCTCTCCCACTCTCTTTCTCTCTCAAAATAAACAAACTTAAAAAAAAAAAAAAAACAAGTGACTGACTCCTTAACTACATCTATGAATGCAGTGATTTAGGCCGTGTTTTGGACACAGGTGGGAAGGATGAGCAGGAGCAGATACTCAATGTCTAGTTGGGAAGGCAGGTGTGTCAGCAGGTGAGTTCAGTCAGTCCAGGGTTACAGTGCTGACGTGAAGTCTGTGCAGAATTGAGGGAGCAGGACAAAGAGTCACTTCTATAGAATTGGGCTTGAAGGGACAGTAAACAGTCAGTTTTGCCTTTTTTTCTTCCAATTTTAATTCAATACAATTGAATATTTGGTACAACTCTAAAAAATAGGAAGAAAATACTTCTTTTTATCCTGTTCCAAACCACCCATCGTTGCCCCTTTGTAAATAATCTTTGTTCTGAAACTAGAAGTAATCTGTAGAATGTATTGTTTCCTTAACTTTGGATATGCATTGAGGAGGAATATAGTAGGCAGAGCAAAATTTAGAAAACCATGGCCACCCTCCTACACTGTTGGTGGGAATGTAAACTGGTGCAGCCCCTCTGGAAAACAGTGAAGAGGTTCCTCAAAAAATTAACAATAGAACTCCCCTATGACCCAGCAATAGCACTGCTGGGAATTTACCCAAGGGATACAGGAGTGCTGATGCATAGGAGAACATGTACCCCAATGTTCATAGCAGCACTCTCAACAATAGCAAAAACATGGAAAGAACCTAAATGACCATCAAAAGACGAATGGATCAAGAAGATGTGGTTTATCTATAGGATGGAATACTACATGGCAATGAGAAAGAATGAAATCTGGCCATGTGTAGCAATATGGATGGACCTTGAGGGTATTATGCTGAGCGAAATAAGTCAGGCAGAGAAGGACAAATACCATATGTTTGCACGTATAGGAGGATTAGGAGGAACTTAACGGAGGACCGTGGGGGAGAAGAAGGGGGGAAATAGTGGGGGAAAGGGAAGGAGGCAAACCATGAGAGACTCTTGAATGCTGAGAACAAAGTGAGGACTGATGGGTGTCGGGGGGAGAGGGGGAGACGGGCATGGAGGAGGGCACTTGTGGGATGAGCACTGGGTGTTATATGGAAACCAACTTGACAATAAACTATTTGTAAAAAAAAAAAAAAAAAAAAGAAAGAAAGAAAAGAAAACTGTGGCCAGTGTTGAAGGAATGGAGAGACCTGAATTCATTGTGAGCCTTCTGCTACTCCACGAGCAGAGAGATAGGAGGAAGTACTGGAGAAACAATAACAACGCAAGCTGGGAGGTCCCATAGAAATTAGAGGGAAAGAGACCTCACCCTACAGGAAGTACAGCAGTCCTGGGAGCCTCTGGCGTGTGAAGCTACACCTGCCTGTCCTCATATCTGTAATGGATGCCTGATTTGTGCGGAGATGATACAGGCCACACCTACTGGCCCCAAGTTCCACATAAAAGCCTGTTTGATCATTCAGAATGCTGGACATTGCATCAAGATTCTCTGATATTTTAACGAATAATGTCCCTGTAGCTTCAGTTTATTGGCTTCTTACTCTGTAAGAAGGCATTTTTTTTTTAAATGTTTTTTTTATTTATTTCTAGGAGAGAGAGAGACAGCGTGAGCAGGGGAGGGTCAGAGAGAGAGGGAGTCACAGACTGAAACAGGCTCCAGGCTCTGAGCTGGCAGTCAGCACAGAGCCCGACGCGGGGCTCGAACCCACGAACCGCGAGATCATGACCTAAGCGAAAGTCGGACGCTTAACCGACTAAGCCACCCAGGCGCCCCAAGAAGGCATTTTAAGTAATAGCTCATTTAATCACTTAACACTCCCAAGAGGTTATTAAACCATTTCACACTCGAGAATTGTGAGGTTCTTAATGAAAGCAGGGAATGGCACTGGGAAGGAGAATATGAGGATTTCCTTATTTTTTTTAATGTTTATTTTTATTTTTGAGAGAGAAAGAAAGCAGAGGAGGGACAGAGACAGGACATAGGATCTGAAGCAGGCTCTGCACTGACAGCAGTGAGTCTGATGTGGGGCTCGAACTCACAACAGATCATGACCTGAGCTACAGTCAGACGCTCAACTGGCCAAGCCACCAACGCGCCCCAAAGATTTTTTATAATTATCCAAAAAGATGGGGCGCCTGGGTGGCTTAGTCGGTTGAGCATCCAACTTTTGCTTAGGTCATGATCTCGCGGTTCGTGGGTTCAGGCCCCGCGTCAGGCTCTGTGCTGACTGCCAGCTCAGAGCCTGGAACCTGTTTCAGAGTCTGTGACTCCCTCTCTCTCTGACCTTCCCCTGCTCACGCTATCTCTCTCTCTCTCTCTCTCCTAGAAATAAATAAAACATTAAAAAAATTTATAATTATCCGAAAAGATTGTACTCATGTGCCTGAGTAACAGCACACATTCTACCTGCCCCCTCTCCCCTCCTTACACACACTCTGTTTAAAATTAAAGAGGAAGAAGAAGAAGAGGAATGCATGCTTGGTAAATAGGATTCTGTTCAATTTATAGTCTTTTCAATATGGAATTTTAGTTTCCTGATATTTAAACATAATGTACTTACTTCATTTATAATATAGTACTTCCCAAAAGGAAAGAAAGTACCACTTTATACAATATGTAGCCTATTGCTAATGCCCAGTGATTGACTGTTGAAGCATGAACAAATCTTAGATAGGATTTCAATTCAGAGATGGTCACCTTTTTTTTCCGCACCCCATTTCAAAATGAAATATTCTGTGGACTTCCAATATTTAAAACAGATCATAATTTGTTCCATAAAATATTGCTATTTTCTTAAGTGATATGACTGCACAAAATATCTGGGGAAACAGGACAGGAAAATGAACTGTTTGTTTTCAATAAATATATTTAAGCTCTCCTTTTTCTTTCCATAAGGACAAGTACTTGGCAATAGAATTTTTCAGCAACAAACTTACTTTTTTTAGTTTATTTATTTATTTGGTGGGGGGACGGACAGAGAGAGAGAGAGGGAGAGAAAGAAAATCCCAAGCAGACTCTGCACTGTCAGCACAAAGCCCAACATGGGGCTTGAACCCACCAACTGTGAGATCATGACCAGACCTGAAACCAAGAGTCTGGCGCTTAACCGACTGAACCACCCAGGCGCCCCAATAAACTTTTAAAAAATGCCTGTCAGTGTCCATTGTATTAGCAAATTAGATTTCAAAATAGATGAAAAGGATAAGGTCAATGAGACCAAAGATGAGCTGCCCAGTTTGTAAGCGGCCCCAGGCGTATGGGAATGAAAGGAGCTACAAATAATTAGGATTCTTCAGAGCTCCATTGGAGAAGACAGACATGACAGCTACAAGTAGGTAGCTATTGTACTTATTGTGCATAGTGACTTGGTGAGGTTGGAATCCCTAAAAACACTGCAAGATACAGAAACAACCAAATGGCTCCTACGAAACAATTACTCCAAAACATTGGAATGGGAATTGGGTAAGCAAAGTGTCAGGCCCACAAAATCTAAGCAGAAGACCCTGAACCTCAATGAGTACCCAACGTCGGGCACATCCTGGGAGTTGTAGTCGTTCAACCCTGCAAGTAGCCTCAGTCTTCTCTTGGGAAGAGAGGCCCCGCCTCCCGCCCCGCCCCCCAGAGACACAGCGCGGCCCAGCGGGCCTGGGACAGCCTGACTCGAGCTGCGATCGTGATACAGCATCTTCACGAATTTCCGATGGCGCGATTTGTTGTGGCCAAAGCTGGATTTCTCGAAGGTCAGCAAGTGCCACACCTCCGGAAGCCTGAGGCGAGTAGACTAGGGATGCAACCTGGTCTCCAGGAACTCAGCACGCCCCGCCCTTTCCACCGTCTCACGCCCCTCCCTTCCCGCCCCGTCCCCACTGGCCACGCCCCCTCGGACATGCGCAGTACCGCGGGCGGGGGTGGGGCTAACGGCTGGCGAAGGGCTGGCCGTTGGTGAAGCCGTTTGGAGTCCACGCGGAAGCTCCTGAGCCGGTATTTGAAACGTAAACTCGTCGGCTAAAATGGAAATACCGGTACCTGGAAACCTGGAACTTGCCTTTTGGAAGCCACCTTTCCCGCCATCACCTCTGTCTCTCCGGGCTCCCATAGTCGGCCCTATGGGCCGCGGGTCGTGTGGTTGCTTGAGAGCAGCCTCCTGGACCTCTGGGTGCTTGACCGGCCAGTACCTAGTCCGGTCTCTTAGAGGGACCAGTGCGGTGCTGTGAAAAGAACCATCACAGTGGAGACGCCGAGTGCTCCACGCTACCCATAGGAAACAACGACAATTCTGGCTCTCAGGTCAGTGACCTCCTAAGGGGTTGGGGGACCACGCCCAAGCCACTTCTCTGACTCCCAGCACTGGCTGATTATTCGATTTCGGACCTCTTGGCCCAATTCACACCGGACAGCTGGACCAGAGGCTCCCATTCATCTTTCCCAAAACGTCGGGAAAGTTTGTGGAGGAAAGTTTCTGCCCTACCACTGGGTTCCTTTGGAATCCCTTTAAGTATCTTTTTTTTTTTTTTATATACGTATTTTGAAAGAGCGAGCATGAGCAGGGGAGGGGCAGAGAGAGAATCTCAAGCAGGCTCCGGGCCTAGACACAAACTGAAATCGTGATCTGAGCCAAAATCCAGAGTCCCACACTTGACGGACTGAGCCACCCAGGCAACCCCCCCCCCCTTTTTAAAATATTTATTTTCAGAGGGCGGGGAGAATCCTAACCAGGCTCCACGCTGTCAATGCAAAGCCGCACCAGGGCTCATTCTCAGGAATCCTGAGATCATGACTTGAGCCCAAATCAGGAGTCAGTGGCTTAATCTACTAAGCCACCCAGGTGCCCCTAAATATCCCTTTTTAAATATCCTGTCAGAACTGCAGAATCATTAAAACAGTCTGTTGCTGTTGGGGGTTATAGTGATAATTTTCTTAAGTCATTTTTCTATTTAGTTTTTCTGATTAACTCCAATTACGACGTTGCTGCACACATCTCCAACCAGTTTATGCACAGCTCCAATTCTGTGCAGGAAGGATGCAAAACAGCAAACTATCTGTGGCAGGACTTTCTGGAGCATCAATACTATTAGAAGATCTGGAAGAAGTGAAAGTCATTTCCAAGGTAAGTAATTGAAAACTTAAGCCTAAGACAAGGCTGGAAAGTCATATGCCATTAGTGATTGTTCATAATCTGAAGTGTCAGACTTTCTCTAAGAAGAAACTGTAAGGAGAATTTAGTTTCCATTATTTTAAATAGAAAAAAATATAAGGCATAGCAAGTCCATCAATTTTGTGGCATCTGGCTGGCTCAGTCACTAGAGCCCCTTGATCTCAGGGTCAGGAGTTAGAGCCTCGTGTTGGGGATAGAGTTTACTAAAAAATTAAATTAAAAATATAATATAGTCAATAGCATAAAGTTGCTTTGCATGCAGTAGCAGTGGCTACTTGTAGATCAATAGCATCAGATATCGTACATCTTGCCCTCCAGAGATTTGCAAAGTGACTAGTGTGATTGGCCTGCGGGTTGTATTTGGAAGCGACATGAAACATTTTCTCAAACCGTTTAAAATGTATTTTTTTGAAGACTCAATAGAAACTGTTATATACACATCAGCTAACAATGTTGAGAGAGAAATAACTGCTATGCTGTGTATTAAAAACAAAAACATTCTTCCCGGAAAACATTAATTGGGGGTATATTCTATGTCTGTATTATGAAATAGATGGCAAAAATCCTATTTTATTTTTTTAATATATTTTTTAAGATTATTTATTTTGAGAGAGAGAGTGCACATAACGGGGGAAGGAGGAGGACAGAGGATCTGAAGAGGGCTCTGTGCTGATAGCAGATAGCCCCATGTGGGGCTCAAACCCACAAACCATGAAATCATGACCTGAGCTGAAGTCAGATGCTTAACCAACGAAGCCATCCAGGTGTGCCCAAATCCCAGTGATTTAAAAAAAATTTTTTTTTTAATATCTATTTATTTTTGAGAGAGAGAGAGAGAGACAGAGTGCGAACAGAGGAGGGGCAGAAAGAGAGGGAGACACAGTATCCGAAGCAGGCTCCAGGCTCTGAGCTGTCAGCACAGAGCCCAATGTGGGGCTCAAACGCACAAACCGTGAGATCATGACCTGAGCCAAAGTCGGATGCTTAACCGACTGAGCCACCCAGGCACCCTAAATACCAGTGATTTTAAACATTACAGCTATAACTTCAAGGGGGCTGAGAAAGTCTTTCAGATTATGACCTCAGAGTTCTGTTGTCCTGTGTCAGTAATGATCCCTTGAGAACATCAGCATACAAAGGTGCCCTAATGTGCATTAAACACAGACGTCCTTTGACCCCAGAGTCCTCTCCATTGCCCATTTTCCTCTGCTCCATTCAGGCTACCTCTCCTCTCCTGAACCCATTCCATTCCAGCTTCCCTCCACACCACTTTGCTGAAATGGCTTTCATGGGATCACCAATGATTTCCATTTTGCTAAATTCAAGATTCAGTTTTTGTTCTCTTGGTCTTATAGCTGCATTTGAAACACGATTGAGCACTTGTTCCTCCTTTCTTCTGGATTCCCAAGCCCCTCCACCCCCAATTCCCTCCCATCTTACTCTGTCTTCCTCTTATTGCGCCTCCTTCTTCATCAGATCTCTGGGATTCTCAGCCCCCTTCTCCTTCTGTGGGCTCTGTCAGAGTGAACCTACAGAGGCTCCCCGCTTTGAATACCATCTATCTACCAAGAACCCCTAGGCCTGGGACTCTTTTCTGAGGGGAGCACTCAGGAGCCATCATCTCACCCAACATGCAGTCCTCCAGCAGGTCCTCTTGGCATGCATCCTGATTGCAGCCTCTTCTCATTGCATCCATTTCTACAACCAGTTTCAGCCACCATTCTCTCTTACTGGTCTTTCGCAAAGACTGCCTTCCAAACTAGCAGTCCATTCTCCAGTCAGCATCTCTAGGGCTCCATTAAAAACACATGAAAAACAGGGGCGCCTGGGTGGCTCAGTCGGTTAAGCCGCTGACTGTTGATTTTGGCTCAGGTCATGGTCTCATGGTTTGTTGAATCGAGACCCACATCAGACTATGTGCTGACAGCATGGAGCCTGCTTGGGACTCTCTCTCTCCCTCCCTCTCTGCCTCTCCCACATGCTCGCTCTCTCTCTCTCTCTCTCTCTCTCAAAATTAAATAAACTTTAAAAAAAAGAAAAACATGATATATGTTAACGCCAACCCCCACCCCACACACATCCCCACTCCCCCTCCACTCTTTCCTATACCCATTAAACCATCTCACTGACTTCTCATTGCTATAAAATAAAAGCTTGGATACCAGATAACCTGGCCCCTGCCTACCTTTTTGGCCTCTCTCCTCTCCTTGCTTGTTCATCCTATTGTGTGTCAGATTTTTTTAAAAAATATTTATTTTTGTTAGAGCGAACACATGAGCAGGGGAGGGCCAGAGAGAGAAGGAGACACAGAATCTGAAGCAGGCTTCAGGCCCTGAGCAGTCAGCACAGAGCACGACATGGGGGCTTGAACCCATGAACCGTGAGATCATGACCTGAGCCAAAGTCGGATGCTTAACCGACTGAGCCACCCAGGTGCCCCAGATTTTCTGGTATCTAGAGCTGAAAGCATCTTAACTGAGAAATAGATAGTAAATCATAGAATCTAGAGCATGGGAGACATGGAAGGAAATGTTTTAAGAGAGAATGAAGGGCCCAAAATGGTTTAAAAAAACACAAAAGCATACAAAACAATGAAAATGTAACTGATCTGCATACACCCAAAAGAATGTCTTAACAAAGTGAATGTTTAGAAACGAAGCCAACTTCAAAGAAAAAGAAGTACCTTTGATTATATTTTAAAAACAAAAAATATACATATTTAGTAAATAAAGAAGGACAAAGATTGGACAATTAACATTTCTGGCCCATATGCAATGCAATTAGAAGTAACGGAAGTAGGGAATTTAAAGATGCCCAGCTTGAGCTGCTGGGTGACTCATTTGGTTGAGCATCTGACTCTTGATGTCAGTTCAGGTCATGATCTCACAGTACATGGGATTGAGCCCTGCGTTGGGCTCTTTGGTGACAGCATGGAGCCTGCTTGGGATTCTCCCTACCTCCCTCTCTCTCTCTCTCTCTGCTCCTCCACCACTCACGCCTGTGCTCTCAAATAAATAAACATTTAAAAAAATTAAGATGCTCAATTTTGAAAATGTTAAGATATTCTTGTGTCATACACAAGCTCAAAACGGCCTTCCAACCACAAGCAGCCTGGAAACCGGCACGAGCAGCTGCAATGGAAAAAAAAAATGATGGCCCTCACATGAGGACTTAGGATTCTAAAAGTTCTGGTCAGGCCTCAGCTTTAAATCTGCCTCATCCACAAAACATTCCCGACCCTCACCTTGGCTATACATAGCAGTCTCTTCTGAAATTTCCTTGCAATTCCCCTTTTGTAACTCCCTTGCAGGAAAAAAGGGGAAACACTATTTGTGGAGCACTGTTATGTGCCAGGACTATGACAATTGAGAAGGCTTAGGCCACACGATGGCACCTCAACCCAGGGGAGATGCCAAAAAAGAACTCCCTCCAAATTTTCAATCAAGGACCCTTCCAGAACTCTTCAGTGACCTCACCAAGCAGCATGCCTCTGGAAAAAGCTCAGATCTCATCCTAAATGAGCTGTCCCCCATGCCTGAGAGAATATATAGATCTGCCATAGCAGTGGGTGCCTGAGCAGAGATGTGACCCAGCAGCTCTGGAGCGAGTTGGTGTACTCAGGCGAGTTCTAGGTAACTTGTACGTGAATAAAAAGGACTGGGATAGGGGAAAGGGCTCCTGAGTCCAGTAAGTGAATTTTAAATATACAAGAGTTCATCTGCAAGACATCACTCTATATTTGCTCTCTAGCTCGTAAGATTTTGACACAGGGCAGGAGAAGAGCGGGAAGGCCACCCTGCTAGGCACCACCGTAGATCTGTTTAGATTTAAATCAGGCTCCCACACCAGGGGCTCCACTTGTGTGCTAAAGGGCCTACAAGGTACTGTCCCTCGGGCAGAACAGGGCTCAATACAACCTCTGTTTCCAGCACTCCTGACAACTTCATTTTTCTTTCACATTTTTTGAGGTAGAATTGTACTCAGGAGTGTGCCCTGATAATGCAGAGGAGTTAGGGGCCTGCAAGCAAGTGAATTCACAAGAAGCTCTGAAGATTACCGCACAAGTGGTTGGTTCCATCGCTTGTATTACTGAATTATCCATTAATTAAAATACTTCATGTAACAACCTCAAGAGGATGTCAAAACCAGGACTGCTGAGGCCTCAGACCTGAGCCAAGGGAGACCATAGATGCGGGATCCAAAGCCCATGCTCCTCACACAGGGTTTGCCACTCACCAACTCTGCGATTGTACAAACTGCTTAACCCCATTCAACCTTCCTAGTCTGGTAAATGGGCACTTTTACCTAAAAGGAATTGAAATGGTGTAGAAAGACAGGGCCACTAGTAAATGCTACTGTTAATTGTTGGTGTTAATATTACAATTATCAAACCTGCTAAGGAAGTGACAACCCTGTGTTCTCTGAGACAAACACGAATGATAACCAGTCATATCAATAATCACCTCCCACAATCCAGCAGTAAAAGCAAGTCAGTTGCACTTGGGTGGCTCAGTCCTTTAAGGACCTAACTTCTGCTCAGGTCGTGATCTCACGGTTTGCGAGTTTGAGTCCCGTGTCAGGCTCTGTGCTGACAACTCAGCGCCTGGAGCCTGTTTTGGATTCTGTTTCTCCCTCTTTCTCTGCCCCTCCCTCCCTCACTCTTTCTGTCTCGCTCTTTTTCTCTCTCTCTCAGAAGTAAATAAGCATTAAAAAAAATTTAAAGGCATCTCAGAAAATAGATGTCAATGCAGCCAAGTAAGCCAACTGTGCTCTTTCCCCATGGGAGCCCAGTGTGCAATGGCTGCAAACAGCAGCCTCCTTGGTGGTTGTACGGGTTGCCCTAAGGTACCTTGGAGACGGCCCTTTCCAATGGACATTGAGGTTTGGCCTCAAGCTATCTCCAACTTAGGCTCCAAACAGGTAGGTGGGGTACCTTTGGAAAGCCCCAGGGCATAGTGGCCAGGGTCCACATTGGCCAAGTGATCATGTCCATTCGTACCAAGCTGCAGAACAAGGAGCATGTGATTGAGGCCCTACGTAGGGCCAAGTTCAAGTTCTCTGGCTGCCCGAAAATCCACATTTCTAAGAAGTGGGGCTTTACTGAGTTTAACACAGACGAGTTTGACGACATGGTGGCTGAAAATCGGCTCACCTCAGATGGCTGCGGGATCAACCCCCTGATCATGGTCCCTTGGACAAATGGAAGGCTCTGTGCTCCTGAGAACCTTGGCACTGCTCCTCCCTATTCATGCTCACCAATAAGTCCTCCTCCTCATCTTAAAAAAAAAGAAAATAGATGTAAATCCTTTCCCATTAAATTTTTTTTATTGTGTTTATTTCTACAGAAGCATCTCCCCTCCTTGATAAACACAGAAGATGAGAGAGAAGAACAGGAGACGAGAAGTACCCCAGGACGACCGTCCAGTCTCTGAAGATTCACCCAGGTTGGGACAGAGGACCTGCCTACAGCCAGGACCAGCCTCTCCTCTTATCTCCCCGGTGGCACCCAGCCATCCTTTAAGCTCACCATTATTTTTTGATTCAGTGCTTTTGAATGCTATGGAAGCACAGGTACTCCCTTGATTTGAATCCCATCCAGACCACCTTGGCAGTCTGCACCTGCCATCCTTCCCTGCCTGTGGTCCTCAGTGTCCCCGCACACAAGCTCCTTGCCCCACTCCCATCCCCACAGCTGTTTGCTTCAGCGCTGGCCCACCTCCCACACTTGCCACTGGGCTCTGTGGAGCTCAGGGTCTTCTTGCTCCCTATATAAAAACAGTCTTTGGTTTTGTCCCTTCTTTGGCTATCCACCATGTGAGCTTTCATTGGCTTCACTGTGGTTTAAGAGCCACACCAATTCTTTCTGGGTAGCCTGAAACATGGGTTTCTGCCTGAGTAGGAAGTTGAAGAAGCTCCCAGCAGCCCAGTCAGCCCTGGGGGTTGCCAGAGGGAGAGGCTGGGGTCCCATCACCGGGCCACCCAGCATGGAGGGAATTGCCAGTTGCAGGACAAACCCTGGGGGCAGCTGGTTCCGTGTGGGGTGTCACCACTGCTGCTGATGCTGTGGGTGCAGGGAAGGCCCCAGGCCACGCTGGGGAGAGGGATGGTCCTTGTCTCCTGGTGGGGGACTGGCAGGCACTTTGGCTGGGCTGCTGGCCTTCCACTGACTCCCAGGCCTTCTCCCCAGGCCACTAACTTTCTGAGTTACAGAGCACAGCAAAGGTGGGAGCGGCAGGCTCACCGAAACCATCCTCCCCTGGGTTGGCGGAGACCCTGGGCTGACGCCTGTGGGAGGGGGAAGGACAGCAGCCACTGGCAGGATCAGCTGAAGGCAGAGGCTTTGCAGCAACGGTCCACCCTCTACCATGGGGCTCTTGCAGCCTAGGATCAGGTAGTTGGCCATCACTTTTAATTCTGGCCCAGCAGCAGGTCCTGGGATCTGGTCCCACCCATAGCCCACGGGTAACGTCACCTCAGTTCTGCCAGGGCTCCTTGTAGTCAGGGAGTGGCTCACTGTAGGGCTTTATTAGTTCCAATTCATGGACCATGTTCATCCATGGGTCCTTCATGGTTTCCTCTAAAGCGCTTCTCTCACTGGGACTGAGGGTCAGGAATTTCTCTAGTAGGTTTCCCACCCTCCACAGACAGGGAAAGGGGAATGTGGTATATTCTGCTCAGCACCCACTCTCACAGCTCCCTGAAGTCCTGTCAAGGCAGGGACCTGCTGGTCACTGGACAGTCCTTGTATAGAGGGTGGCTCCAGGCTCCACCCATCCACTGCGAGGCTGTTGTACTTTGGGTGTAAGGGGGTCTACCACAGAAGGTGGTCAGCTTATGGCCTACAGTGAACTCATTGCTGAAGCCAAAGTCTGCAACCTTGATGTTCAGGTCAGCTTCCAAAAGCATGCTCTCTGGCTTTAGGTCCCTGTGGATAATACCTTCCTGGTGGTGGTACTACACGGTGGACGCCATCTGGTAGAATCTGCCTCGGGGCTCCCCTTTTCTCATGCAAGCACGATGCAGTAGGTAAACAAACACCTGTCCTTCGCTAGTGCACTCATGACCAAGTTGAGTCCTTCCGTGGTGCCGGTGACCTCAGGTAGTCTCACCACTCGGGGGTTGTAATTCAGGGCCTTCATGCTCTGGACTTCAAGGAATAGTCTCTGGAGGCTGGAGGAGCCCTGTTGACTCCTGTTAATGACCTTCATGGACGCCTCTGTCCCACTTGGGCTGTGCCAGACCAACCCCACCTGGGCAAAGCTGTCCCAGCCAATGGTCTGGAAGAGATGGTAGTTGTTGAGTGTGGGTCCCCCCGTCACAGGGATGGCTGCAAGGCCCTGCTGCTCAGTGAGTTACTGTCAGCAATACTAACTAAAAGCGTCCCCTGTCATAGGACTAACAAACTAAATAAAGATGGGAAAGGGAAGAAAAAAAGAAAAAGAACAGGCAAGGGAAAAAGCAAAACTGGGGTCAAAAGTCCCTCAGGGCCCCAAACACCAGCTTCCTGGCCTAAAGTAGCCAAAACATGTAGGCCTGGCCAAGGGCTGATACAGAGAGGTACTTGGGATTTTCTCTCGATGGCTCTTCTTAAAGTCGGTGCAAGAAATGGGCCTGTCAAGCCTGGGGATGATACAGTATTTTTCTTACTTGGGTCTCAGGAACCCTTTACTCTTAAAAGTGTGTGTGGAGGGGGATAGGGAGACACCCCCAGAGGCCTTTTTGTTTACGTGTCTTACAGTAATTGATATTTATCTTACTAGAAATTAAAACCTAAAGGATGCTTCAGTGGCCTTTTCATGTCTAGTTTGGAAATCTGTAATAATTTTTGATGTTTAAAGAAAGCCACGATGTCTATACTTAAAATAATTCCTTTTTCTTTAGACTCTGCATGATCGGTCTCAAAATGATACTGCAATTTAACTGGCTTCACAATAGTCAGTGACAGAGACTCTCCTTGTCTAAACTTGAGTCATTCTCCTCTAGGCCTGGACCTTGCAGCCTGTCCTTGTCTGGCCTGCATCACCCAGTTGTAGCAAGAACCTTGCCAAGTCAGTTTAGAGAGAACTCTCCACCCTCAATGTCATCCCCCACCTTTGGTATCTGTGAAACAAAAGAAAATCTATATTGGTCTCTGTCCCCAGTTCTCCTGGCACAAGCTCCTGAAAGCCTTGTTAATTTCCTAAGTGCTTAGACACTAGGAGCATCTCTTTTTTTAATATTCAGTCTTTAACCCCAGTTCCTGATTCAGGGCTCCTAAATTCCTTGGAATATTCTGGGTTGTAGGAATGTCTTGTTCTAATGAGGCAACTCTAGGTGGGCTCCTGGATGACTCCTAGATGGGGACTGTTATCAGAAAGATGCAGCCATGATTAGAAGCTTGGAATTTTCAGCACCATAACCCCTCCCCAATCCTCCAGAGAGGGGAAAGGGGCTGGAAATGGAGTTAATGATCAGTCATGCCTACATGAGGAAGCCTCCATAAAAATCCCAATAGTATGGCAGAGAGTTTCCATATTGGTGGACACATCCACACTGGGAGGGTGATGTACCCCAACCCCATGGGGACAGAAGTTCTGGTGCTCAGGACCCTCCCAGACCTCACTCCATGTATCTCTCTCTCTCTCTTTTTAATATTTATTTTTGAAGGAGAGAGAGCAGAGTGTGAGTGGGGGAGGGACAGAGTGAGAAAGGGAGACACAGAGTCTGAAGCAGCCTCCTAGCTCCAAGCTGTCAGCACAGAGCCTGACACGGGGCTCTAACTTACAAACCGTGAGGTCATAACATGAGCCAAGGTCAGACACTTAACCAACTGAGCCATCCAGTTGCTCCTCCATGCATCTCTTCATCTAAGTGTATTCTTTATCACATCCTTTAATAAATGGTAAATGGAAGTGTTTCCCGGTGCTCTGTGAGCCACTCTAGCAAATGAACTGAACCTAAGGAGTTGTTGGAACTTCCAATCTATAGCCAATCAGTCAGAAGCACAGGTGATATTCTGGACTTGGATCAGCATCTGAAGTGGGGAGGCTGCTTTGTGGGACGAAACCCTTAAGCTATGGAATCTGATGCTCTGGATAGTGTCAGAATTGAGTTGTATTGTAGGACACTCCATTGTCATGGAGGAGTGCTTGGTCTAAGGGGAAAAGACCACACATTTGGTGGAAGAAAAGTGTTTTGTGTGAATAGTAAGGGAGGCTCACAGGTGAAAAGACTGTGGGTTTTCCTCTGTGCCACATCTGACCACCCGGGCTTGCCTGCAGCAAGAATCCTGTTAAATCTGCTTAACTAGAATCCTTCCATTCCTGAGGTTTTTCTTAGTAATTTTCCATCAGTAGATGCTTCTGACCCCAATCCTGCTCCTTGGCTGTAAAACTCCACTTTGTGCTGTACTGGGGATGGGTTCCAGTTCTCTACTGAGGTCTCTTTTTCCCCTATTGCAGTAATTCCTAAATAATTGCAGTAATTCCTGAATAAAACTTGATTTTACTGCTTTAACTACTACTGTCCAGCTCTGGTTTTCCTTTAACACAGTAGGGAAATATTCTGTTGCATAAGACACAACAAGGTACATTATTGACTTCTTTTTTAAGAGAGAAAGAGTATGCATACAAGCAGAAGAGGGGCAGAGAGAGAATCCCAAACAGTCTCTGTACTGTTAAGTGTAGAACTGATGCAGGAGGCTTGATCTCATGAACCCTGAGATCATGACCTGAGCTGAGATCAAGAGTTGGCCTGCTTAACTGACTGAGCCACCCAGGCCCCCTGTTATCAACTTCTATAAAGCTGAGGGAAAGACAGTTTTCATCATATTTTTATTTCTTATTTACAAATTTTGCCCATACTCTTTGGAGTAGATTCTCCCTTCCATAAGCCAGAGAACTTGGTATGTCCATTGCAGTGTCCTTAAATGTAGAAGTTGAGGGGCACCTGGATGGCTCAGTTGGTTAAGCATCTGACCTTGGCTCAGGTCATGATCTCTCAGTTCATGGGATCAAGCCCTGCTTCAGGTTCTGAGCTGACTGCTCGGAGCTTGCTTGGGATTCTCTCTCTCCCTCTCCCTCTCTGTGCCCCCCCCTGCTTCGGCTCTCTCTCAAAATAAACTTTTTAAAAATATATTTGTTGAAAGACAGCAGAGGAATCATTGAAAATATTGACATAAACACGTTATTAATATGTTCAGTGAAAACCTTTATCTATTTAAAAATATATGACTCAAGGAACTTCAGTTAGGTAGAATGAATCAATATTGTTAACCTTTATTGGTTTTTTTCAGTAAATAACTGATCCTCCCAATGGGCCAGACATTGTGCTAAGTACCAGAACACAGAAGCATGGAATCTATCAAATATGACATGGTACCGTATATTAACTTAAAAAATAAAAGTGCAACCTAAGAAATGCCTGGAGTATTGTTTTGCCACCTGTCAAGTATATACGTGCAGACAGGCCAATATCTCTGATGAATATAGATGCAACATTTCTCAATATATTAGCAAACCAAGTTCAACAGCACATTAAAAGGACCATATGCCAAAACCAAATGGGATTTTTCCCTGGGATGCAAAGATGATTCAACACACACAGATCAATAAATATGATATACCACATTAATAAGATGAAAGACAAAAATTGTGTGATTATCTCAACAGATCCAGAGAAAGCATTTGACAAAATTCAACATTTTTTCATGATAGAAAACATTCAAATTGGGTATAGAAGGAATATACCTCAACATAATAAAGACTGTATATGAGAAACATACAGCCAACATCATACTCATTAGTGAAGGGTTAAAAGCTTTCTAAA